AAATATATTTTTAAAAATCTGTTACCTGGTCTCCTCAACTGAGAATGATGTTCTGATGAATGTGCTGCTTAACTTCTCTCTGATGCACTTAGTTAAAATATTTACACCTAGCATAGCTGTTGGGTTTTCTTAAATCTTTCGTTCTGCTCTAAGATCACATTTTTTCTCCTATCCACACGCCCTACAAAACATTTGTTGCCTTATTTTGTAAAAAGTGGGTCAGTTTAAATAGCCTAATCGTGGAAGACAGAATGTGTTTCTAGATTTGAATGTTGGAGAGAAGAGCAAGAATGAGGTAAATAGCTATTTGATGTCTGTCTTTTCACAGTAGCACAATAGCTAATTCCTAGGGCCTCTGACCTTTTAGTGTCCTGTAACAGAGTACTTGCATTAATCTGTTGCTTATCTGTCACCTACCACATTTGATATTTCCAACCTCTGCTTTCAATTATCAGTCATTTGAGGCAGCACTGAGTAATTTCAGGAGAAAACGCCTGGAACCTTTGACCTGTTTTTGTCAGATAACCACAAGTGTTCACTGTAGATAAACTATCATTTCATTATATTCAAGATGTAAACGAGTGTCGTTTGTAGTGTATCAGCTTACTGTAACCTTTATCACCTTGAAGTGATTAAAACTGACTGGTTTACTTAGTGCTTATACAAAGAATTCAGAGTCAAACAGTGAAAATCAGTGAGATTAGTGTAAATGGCCCCTTATAGTTACGCGGTCTGTAAGACCCTCTGTTTTGCCTTGGCACGTATATTAAGTAGTTAAACAGCAACATTCAGTTGATTAGTGATGCTTCACTATTTGTGAATCCAGTTGGGATCCTGGGATATTACGTTGTAAAATCAGCTTATTCCAACATATCTTTGATTTGTTCCTCGGTTTGCCAAAGAAGCTTTCACTTTCCCGATGTGTCACCACATACCAACCTCTTCAGGACAAGCAAAGCACATGTCAGTGGGGAGCTAATCACTAATGAAAGAGCACATCTAATAGTCCCTCATGCACTATGACCTAAACTCATTGCTAGCACTTTTACATTTTTAAAGCTCAGTCAACAGTTAATCAGACATTTATAGCTGAATTGGTAAAATACTAATTACTTATTATACTGTCCATCTATACATGTGCTTTGTATTTTTTTTTCCTGAGACAAATACTTTTGTTAATGAAAATTAGTGCATGGTATTTTCTCTTGGTGTAAAAGATGACCCTTTTTCCAAAATATCTCTTTGGTGTAAATATGTTTTCATTCCTCTTAGAGTTGGGCTTAGTGTTAATACAGTATGAATATTTCATCAGTTTGTCACATGGGTGGAAAATATCATTCTTTCCCATCTTACACACAGGTGTTTGTGATATTCCCCTGAGCCATGGTTTGTCTGATGTAACCATAGTGCTGAATATATTAGTTTCAGGTGGTATAAAAATAACATTTTAAAAAGTTGATGCTAAGAATCCTGATCAATAAGAGCAAATGAAGAACTTTGTTGTAATCAGCATTGACCGTAATACTCCAGTTATTTTTACTTAGAAAAATTATATTCCTCCAATGGTTAAAAAAGGACTTCCTGATTTTCTGGTCAACCGGTTTTCAGATGCTGTGATCGGTCCCACAGAGATGCATTTTGGCAGCTGAACTGAGCAGAGCTGGAATGACATGAGAACACTCTGGAAGAACTGAACACTTAAAAATCTTAACCTGTATTTTTCGGGCTGTCAGTGTTGAAAAGCTATCACATGTGAAATAAAAATATTTGAGACATGATGCCCTCCCTGCACTTCATGCCATTTCAG